GCGAACAGTGATTTTTCTCGGGTAAAAAGGCAGTGTCTGCGCACACGCTCGGGTGGGTTTTGAGCAGAGGCTCCGCCAGATGGTGCGAAGCCCTAGGTGCGCTCACGACCGCGCTCGGCCCGGCTCTGCCGCCCGGAACCCGAGCCGGGGGCCGGGGGCCGGGGGCCGGGGGCCGCCCGCACCGCCGCCTGCGCCAGCCCCACCGCCGGCCTCGCAGAAAAAGAAAAAAAGGGGGGGAAAGGTCACTGGGGGAGGGGCGGGGGGCGGGGGCCGCAAGTTCCCGGCAGAAAAATTCCACGGAAGGGGGAGGGGAGTCCCCTCTCCGGTGCCCTCCCCCCACCGAAAATTATCTGGAAATTACTTCCAATCTCCTCGGGCACTTCTAACACTTTCCTCCACTTCCAGGCGGACAAAGCCCTTTCTCCAGAAAGCCTGAGGCTGCCCTCTGGGAAGAGGGAAGGGTCCCAGCGAGCCCCTCTCCCCCAGACTCCCTCCCGATCTGCTCGGAACCACAGAAGTGATGGGTGTCACCGCAGGCCAGCGGGCCGCCTGGGGCTGCCGGGCGCTTGGCCGAGGCGGACACCAGCACTTCTGAGAGCTCGGCTTGTCCTCCTGTGGATCCCCGTATTTATATGTGATTTATTTTTTATTTTGTAGCACAAACAGAAATCCATAAACTGTCGGTTCAGCGCCATTGACTCTTTGATCAGTTACTGGGCTATTTCTTTCCTTCCCCCCCCCCATCCCGTCAGTGAGAGGAGATTAAATGCCTTTATTTTCAGCCCTGCTTCTGTTGCAAAGGTACATGGCTAAACGAACAATAAGAATACACTTAAAACGAAGCCGCCTCCTCTAAGCAACAACAGAGAAACTTAGCGCTGCCTACATCAACCTCTTAATTAGAACACTGCGGCTTCCGACAACATTTAGCCCTTATATACAAAGGAAATAAAAGCACCCTGTCAACGAGCAGCCCTAGTTCCAGAGGCTTCTCTGGATCCAAGTGGAATAATTACCGAAGGGCACACGGCCTCCGTCTTTGTCAGAAACGCGGTCGTCTACCTGTAAGATCTGTTTCACTCTGAGAGAAAACCACACTGTTTTACCCGGCAGACACTAAAATCCAACCCGCTTGTTGCCTAGGTAAGGACCAACTTTTTAAAGGGGAAGTAAAATCCAAAAACTAATTGCTGTACACAGAGTGGGAAGCAAGCGAGCTGGGCTGCAGGAAGCACCAAGGAGTTCTTTTTCCCTTGGCTCACAATTCTTAAAGTTAGCATCAAAAATGAAGGTGCTACTTTCATTTCTAAGCCCGAAGCCCACCTTGGAAGTATATGTTAAATCAATCTGTTGGAGTGGGTTTACTGTACACATTGAACTTTCCCCTCCCCCAACACTATTTTAAGAAAATGAGGAGGGGGGTAAATTTTTACCAGGACTACACAACAACACACCACCCGGTACAAAACCAGCCAGAGACTGCACAAGGTCAGAAAGCAATGAAGCGCTTTTTCTGCACTTAATCACATTACTGATAGCCAATAGTTATCATCGGAAAAGTTGACCAAGACAGGTTAAATAATTTAATAAGGAACTGCTTGTAATTATGTTATTTACAAGGTATGACAGAGGGTGGGAGAGAGAGCAAAAGCTGCTCCCAGAGCAATGGACGGATGTGGGTGACCTCTGGAGCTGGGAGTTTGAATTATGGAGAGGGGAGGCTGAAAGGTGAAGACGCACTAGCGGAGAACAAGGTGACTTTTCACCCCAACACATTTCACTTTTAAATCCAAATCAACGTCTCGCGTTACTAGACCATCACACTGGAAAGGAGAAAAAAATGAACTAATCAAGTCCAACTCAATGGGCTTTGGAAAGGAGTTAGATGCCTTTGTTATAGAAAAAAAAAAATCAATGAAATGATTCCAAGCAGAGAGAGAAACATTTAAAAATATATACAAGAGGAGAAGTATCCTGAAATTTTTCTGTCAAATATTAATTACCATAACTAAGACAGAATTTTATCCCAATCACACGCCATCTAATGAAAGCATAGATGTCCTGTTCTAACGACAGCATGAACTGTTTTACCCATCGCATCATTTATTCCAATAAATATGGAATTCTCATTAGCATGTCAAGGAAACTAGATGGAAAACAACTCCACCAGTTCGTTTGTCAGTACCCCCATCTCAACCCCAGGACAAGACAGCTGAGCAGCGCGGACTAGTGCAGAGGCTTGAACTTTCTCACCTGTTTGGTCATTGAATCTATGAGGCGAACATACAGATCCTGCTCCGTTCTGACTCCTGCAAAAAACAGGGACAAATTCTCATCAGGATTTTAGCGAGGGCACCTGGGGCACAGGAAGTCGGTAACTCAGGACTGCTGTGGGCAGTGAAGCAGCAAAACTTAGGCGTGCCCCTTAAAAGGCAAGAAAGAGAACCCCAATCACTTCTCCTTCTCTTGGTTTCTTCTCTTAATTAAGAACCTCAAGACTCTTAGGTTTGCACTGAAAGGTGCAACAAATTTGCCAGACTGAGAGCAGGCCTGGGTTGCCACACCGGTGGGCCCATGTGCTCATTTATTTTTTAGAAAACAGAGAGCACCAAATGAGTGAGAGTTTGAACTCTTTCTAATGTCTCTCGAGGATTTTTTTTTAAAAAACTCGTGCACAGGAAGTAAGTTATGCTCCCGTTTATGGAGCTTCCCCCATCTCAATAATTAACATTAATTTGCAAAATTGAAAAAAGTCACTTAAAAGTGATGCTCTGCTGAAGCCCATATCGATCCCCCTTTTTACTTTCTGCTTCACGCCCCACCGGTTAATCATGTGAAGTGCCATCGACTTATTGATCGTTTATGTTTTGTTTTCCTCCTATGCCATGAGAAGAATTCGTGTTTACATCCATGTCATTTTAATCTCAAAATCTTTATGTCCTCTAGCCGTCTCGGGAAGGGAGCGCGAGCCCGGGCAGGGGCGGGCAGGCGGCGGCAGCCACTTACCGTTGCTATACAGCAACTGGAGTTTATAGTGGATGCCGTTGTTGGTTTTCTCGTTGTTGGGCTCCTGAAAGGAACGATAAATAATGGCATTTAGCGCGATCGGTGTCCGGCGCGGCCACCGCGCTCCGTCCCCCTCCGCGGCCGAGGCCCCGTGGCCCCACACAGGGCAGGAGTCCTAGCTCGGAGGGGCGCGCTGATGTCACTCCCCTGCTGGGAGCCCGGCGTGCTCCTCGCCCCGAGTGAGTCGGGGGCGCGGGGAAGTTGCGCAGCCCTCGGCGGGCCCGGGCGGCCGCACGTGGCGGCGGCGGGGGCGCCTCGCGAGCGGTGCCCGCCGCCGAGGGGGGCACTCGGGGCCACCGCGCTCGGGCACCGCCTGCCCCCCACTTCTAGAAAGACGGAGCGTGCGGCCGTGTGCTTGCACTTACTTTCTCCTTCTCCACAAAGTCCACGAACGCGGTCCTTTCGATCTCCACCGGCTGCCCCTGCCTGTCGTAGAGCGCCAGCACGAAGTGGAAGAAATTGGACTTCCGGAGGTTGGAAGGCGGCTGCTTCTCGAAGTGCGCCCGCGCCAGCCCCACGCCGCTGCGGGAGGAAAGAGACGGCGGCCCGGTGAGGAGCGCGGCGCCGGCCGGCTGCGGGGACCCGGCCGGGCCGGGGCCAGGGCGCGCGGGGGCGGCCGGTACGTACCTCTGGGCGGCCGTGTTGGCGTCCACCACCCCCGCCGTGTGCATCCACGAGCGCACCGGGTTCATGCCGCTGCCCAGCGGCTCCTCCTTCATGGTCGTCCCCCCGCGCGGAATGTTCTCCTGAATCCCAAACATGAACACTGCTGGCGGCGGCCGCGGCTCCGGCCGAAGGCGCTTCCGCGAGCAGCGGCGCTCGGCGCTCGGCGGCAGGCGGCTGCCCTGGCCGCGCTCGCCCTGCTCGGCGCCTGCGGTCCGGCCCGCCGCCGGCTTCAGCCCGTCCCGGGCAGGCGCGACATACACCAGCGGCCGGGCGCTCCGGACGGCCGGGGGCGCGGGAGCGGCGGCGCTTCGGAGGAGCGGGACGCGGTGGCCGCGGTGGCCGCGGATGCGGTGGTGGTGGTGGCGGTGGTTTGCAGGCGCGCTCAACGTGGTGTCATCCTAGCCAGGCGGCGTCCGCGGCTGCAGGACACGGCGGGATCGCCCGCTTCTGGCGCGGCCCGCCTGCTCCAAAGACAAATAAACGGGGCAGTGAGCGCCGCGGCGCAGTCCCGGGCGCAGGCGGGGCGCGGCGGGGCCTGGAGCGGCGCGCGCAGCGGACGGAGGCGCACAAAACTCAGCCCTCTCTCCCCGAGGAATGGACCCTTTCCCGGGAGCCAAAACTCGAAGCCCCCGGGAGCGGCGCTGTCAGAGGGTGACGTCGGGGGGCGGCGCCTGCGCCATATATGGGAGCGGCCGCCCCTCGCCGCGCCCCTCGCCGCCGCCGCCGCCGCCGCGCTCGCTGACTGACTGCCTGACGGCGCCGCGAGCCGGCCCGAGCCCCGCGAGCCCCGCGAGCCCCGCCGCCGCCGAGCGCCGCCGCCGCCGCCCCCAGCCACGCTCCGCGGCTCTTCGCGCCCACCCGCAGCCCAGAAGTTACTACTCGCCCGAACAAATCTCGAAATGAAACAAACGGCCTCTGCACGACTGCTGCTCGGCCCCCTGAATACCTCCTCCCCAAATCAGCCACACGGTCAAAACACTGTAGGGAGGAGGGGGTAAACTGCCCAGACGCCCCCAAGTTGCCCAAACGCACGCAACAAACGCAAAGGGCCTCAGCTCGCCCTGGGGCGGCCCAAAGGGGGAAAAGTGGGAAGAAGCACGCAGGCCGCAGGGAGGGGGCTGAAGGGGCAAGCAACCGACTGGGGATGGGGGGGGCGGTGGAGAGGGCAGGGCTCCCTCGCCAAGGCGGGGCGCGCAGCCCAGCCTGGTTTCTAAACAGACCTAAGGCTGCTGGGGGGCCGGTCTGCCCTGGTCTGGGCCTCGCCGGGCGCCGGTGTTTTCTGCCCTGGCGGAGGCCGCCGAGGGCCGGGCTGAGGACCCACGTCGGAGGCGGGCCCTGCCAGATGCTCTCTCTTTCCCGGCGGCCACGGGAGACCCGGTCCCCCGGCCTGTGCTTAAACGCGGCGAGTGACAAAGAAGGCTCCGGGCTCTCCGGACGGACAGGAAGCGCGCCCGGCCTCTCCGGCGACCCGGAGCCGGGGGTCCGGCTGCGCGCCCTGCTCGGTAGCTAGACCTCCCCGGCGCCAGCCTCTCTAAAAGCCGAGCGGACGCCGCGGGCGCTGGGGTCCTGCCCTCAGTGCCGCCGGGCCCGGGTGAGCGCGCGGCGCGCAGCTTCCCGACCTGGTTTCGAGGAATCGGGAGGGCAGCAGGGCACGGGCAACGCGTGGGCCCGGCGGCAGAGCTCCTGCAGCGGGGACTCGGAACCCAGGCGCGCTGCCCGCCCAAAGGACGTCTGCACGACACGGAGCAGAGACCCAGGGGACGCCCAGGAGCTGTCCCGGCACTTCCCTGCCAAGAGAAAGCAGGCCCTTTCGATTAAAACAAAACCAAAACAGGTTTCAGGGTGCAAGTGTGTCGCAGGGCACCCTTTTCCTGGCCGGTATGGGGTGGCACTCTCTTTTTCCATGAATTGGCAGTGTGTGTACGTTAATATTTTAATTATTCGGGAAAAATCAAAGTCCGATTCACGTTATCTGGGGACCCCCACGCCTCTTGGAAGGGGTGAGGGGAAAAAAAAAGATGTGTTGGAAAGCAATCTATTTTGCTGGTGTTGGGGGTTAATGACTATTGCCAAAGATAAGTGAATTATCAAAGCTGTTGCGCCAGTCCCATCTCAAAATCCATTACGGTGCCGGCCGTCTAATTAAATACGTAAGTATAATAAAATCATATTTTATGACTATTTGAGGGTAATGAGATTAGTCTTTAGAAGCGATCGCCACATATTAAAGATGCCACTGTCTATAGAATGTTAATAACCTTAAATCAAAGTGTATGGAAACTATTCACGATAAATTAAAAGAAAATTTCTGTATTCCTAGTAAGCCCAGAGCTTTCCACCTACCTCAGACTGAGTGGGGAAAGGAACACTTTCTTCATGGAGGGACGACGCAAAATAAAGTTGGCCATAGGTGTAGGGTGGGGTTGAGAAATTGCTTTGTGTCTGCGTGTTTAGCTGCTTCGGGGGCTCACGCAGGGCGAGCGGCCAGGCAAACGTTATTGTCAGAATATGCAAAGTGCCTTTTCGGGAAAGATGAAGTTGGAAATAGGAAACAATGCTTCCTTTGTAGCACACTTCCTAAAATGCCCAGCCCGCCTTGGAGGTGCCCCCTTCCTTGCACTAACGAAAGTATCATGCTTAAAATCATTTACAGTATCTTTAATTCAGATTACACGCGCCAAGGCGATTTAAATCTGATTACCAAATTAGAAGGTTTAAAAACAAATCCTTCTAAATCTGATACTGTTGACTAAAGAGGGGAAAGAAGTTCTATAAGCCCATCACATAAGGTAACGATCCTGCCCCAGAAAGAAAAGGGGTTTTAAACCTTTTTGACAACAAATGCAGCTGCCCCACTATTTTGGACGATATTAAGCGAAAATGAATGCAAATCTGTGTTCAGCAGCCATCTGGCCCGAAATGGGGGAATCAGCTGCTCTCACAACAGGCTCGGAGGCTGAATCCATTTCAGCTCATTTTCTAGATCATCTGGTCCCGCACCCAAAGCGTGGAAAATACGGTCTTTATCATTCACCAACTTTATCTTTTTTGTCACTCCACTGCTGTCTCTGAGCTGCGGGCACAAGGACTGCCCGACCGGGCCGGGTCTCCACCCTGGCCTGCTGGGGAGCAGCCTGGGAGGGCAACCCCTCACCCCCCCCACCTCACCCTACCCCAGATTTTCGCTTTAAAGAGGGGGGAACAGCAGCGGAGAGGAGCCAGGGACAGTGCACCCAGGCTGGGGAGGGGGAAGGGGACTGCAGGTCAATTCCTGGATGCCCTGAGAGATGCTGGGAGCGCTTCCCAGCACCGGCCTCCTCCCTCTGCAGTCCTGCTCCCGCCTCTCCCCCTTTCTGGGGACCTAGGGGCTCTCAGCGCCCAGGAAGGGGAAGCAGGGGGGTGGGGAGTGGAGGGGAGGTGGAGAGACAGGCTGACACTTTGGAAGTTGCGCAGGCAGGGCCGCTGGTCCAGCCTCCGCTCCCAGAGCGCTCCCAGGGGCCAGACAGACGCCCAGGGGCCGGTCCGGGCGGGGCCTGACCTTCGTTGGGAACCCCGCGGGCCGCGACGGCGAAGGCGACCGCTCAGGGCCCCGCGCTCAACGCGATTTGCACGGGTGGCCCTTGCGCCGCCGCCGCCTCTCCGCCGCCGCCGCCGCCGCCTCCTCGGAGGGTGGGAAGTATTCCTTTTGTGCGGATTTACGGGGAGAGGCTTCAATGAGCCCCCTCACATTTGCATTTAAATAGCGGCATCAAGCGCTTCGCGTGCCACACACCAGTGGGCTCCCAGATGTCACGCCGGAGTCAGATGGCCAGTGCCCAGCTGTCCTCCCCACGTCGTGCCGGGGCAGCCAGTGACCTTAAAGAGACAGCGCCCGCCGCCCCTGGAGCCCTGTTCGGGGAGCGGCGTGCAGAGCGCAGGGCAGAGGCGGCGCTTGGCCGCTGACCCGCGGCACCACCCGAGGCCCAGCCGGGCGGTACGACCGACCAGGCAGCGTCCGCACCCAGGCCCAGCCCGGCTTCCCTACTGGCCGTGCAGCGCCCAGTGCCCCGGCCGCCGCGCGCGCCCAGCCCCCCCGCCCGCGTCCCCTACCCCCTCGGGGAGGGCGAGGAGCCGTTCCGCGAGCGCCAGGCGCGAGCGTCCCCCTGGTACCTCCCCAGTCCCGGGACCTCCACTGTTGCGTGGTGCAAGGCCTGGAGAGCGGGAGGCGAGCTGGTGCCAGTCTCAGAGTCATCCAGAAACTTGGACCAAGTTGGGGTCCCAGGGAGTGAGGCCAGCCGCGGAGCCCGCACCGGCCCAACGCTCAGGGTACTTTGTGAACACCCCATCTCACTCGCGGCCCACTCCGGGGAGCCAGCCGACCTCCCTACCAGCCTTCCAAAGAGTAATAAACTGCATTTCCGGCGTTGAGAAGCCCGGGCACTGTGTTCCTGGAAGCCGAGCCCCCTGAGGCATCGGGGACGCGCGGGCGCGTCCGGGCGCGGCGCCCTCGAAGGGCTCGTGGCCTCAGGCCCAGGCTGCGCGCCATGACACTCAGCCCTCGAGAAAGGGTGAGAAGCCAATGCGCCAGAGGCCCGCAGTTCGCGTTCCCGCCGCCAGTGCCGAGTTGCAGGCGCGGCCCGCCCCCACGTCCTCCGCGCCCGGAGGTCACGCTCAGCCTGCACCCGCTACCCGGCCTCCAGCCCTACTCCGGCTCCGGCTCCGGCTCCGGCTCCGGACCCGGCGCTGCGCACAGGCAGGGGCCTGGGAAAGAACCCGAAATTGGAGAGCCAGACAGACCTTGGGCCCCGGCGGGAAGGAGGCCACAGGGGCCGGGAGGGCCAGAGAATAGGGAAATCCTGGGAAGACACACCTGGAAAGTACCGTGAACTGCGGGATAGGGTGGAACAGCCATGCACTCGCAGACCCTGCCCACCGCGAGTCAGTGTCACGCGGCCCCTGAGTGCGTCCAGGGCTGGGACTTGTGCTGCGGGGTCACTCTCACCGGTGGGCCGCGGGAGGCCGGGGAGGCAAGGCCTCCCGTCTCGGGCCACCCCATCCTATTAAACTGCGCACAAAGGAGGCCGGGCCAGGTTTGGGTGGGTTTTCCAGGGCCAGAGAGAGCGCCTTCGCCATCTCAGGGCAGAGACAGAAGCCGCGGGGCCCTCAGGAGTCATGTGGAGAACTGAATCCAAGCCAGGCCGCGCATCCCGCCTGCCCTCGGAGGCAAGTAACTGGGCACCTCTCCCAGGACACACGGGGCGCCCCAACGGGTTCCTCTTGCCTCTGCTAGAAGGGGGGAGGCCTGGCTGGATTCACAGGTAAAAAGTGAACACTGAAGGGTCTCAGACCCCGGTTCTCTGCATCACCCCCCGCCCCATTCGTCATCCTGTAAGGTTAACGTTGGTGAAGCCCGACCCCTGAGTACCGAAAAAGGCTCAATTCTCCAAGCTAGAATATGCAGGCGCCTCCTGTCTAAGCGGCCAAGTTTGACAAACAGCGCCTCCTGGGGTGGGGAGAGCAGTGTCGCCGCGCAGCCGAGAGCCAAGCCGCCGAGGCTTCCACCTACCCCAGGGCAGGTGGCTGCCGAGGCTCCCTGCCCGGCCTACCAGCTGCG